TAACACACTTTAAGCAGAATTTTCCTCCAGTTCGCCAAACGCGCATGGCACCCTCAAATACAAACAGACACAAACACAAGCATTAACAGATTGGCTGTGGTCTAAGCTCTGAGTGGACTTGGCTCAACAGCCTTTTGAAGACAAAAAAGCCTCTGCTAAGAAGATGAGGGGAATCTACATGGTCTGAAACATTTCTTTTTTAGATGAGGACACACGCAGAGTGCTGGACCACAGCACAGCCAATATAGCGCTGACGCTGCCTCTGATCTATGGACCTCTGTGCAACCACTTTTACGTGTGTGTGTGTGTGTGTATATGTGTGTGCATGAGTCTGTTTTAGGGTAAGGGGGTTGCTCAGAATCTGGCATGACCCCCCGCAGTGAATCCTGATCCTATTGGTCACGATGCTCAGAGTGCTGCTGAGATCTTAAATGAAAATTCCTGCACTCACTCCCTCACTCCTCCCTAGTGACCCAGCAGGTCTTCCGCCATTATACACATAAATGCTACCTCTTCATCAGAGGATGTGGCTCAGTTTTGCATAATGTGGGTGTATGTGTGTTTGTGAGCGTGGGTGTGGGTGTGGGTGGGTGGGTGCTGTACTTTTGATGTCAGATGTCACTGAGCACATTTTAGCATATCAATCGTTAAGAGAATTACAGATTTTGAAGCTAAAAACACACAGGTGTGATTTCTAACTGAGCACAAGTGATTATGCAACAGCAACAAACCTTTCAAAAAAGCGCACACACGCACACACACACACACACACACACACACACACAAGCAAGTGTAGCTCCTGTTGAAGTTGTGAATGAGTTCTGAGTGTATGTGTGTGTTCTGCTGCTGCCCCCCTTTTACCCCACACAAAGGGGCAGAAAAAGCTCTCTGGAGTCTCCTATTCATCTAAAGCACAATGGAACCCCACAGAGGTTTTCTTCCTGTTTCCCTGCCTGCCCCACCCATCTCCCCCCACAGGGCAGGATGGAGGGGCAGGGAGTACCCTGTCCTGCAGGCCCAGCAGCAACTCAGCTCCCATCTGCCACCGAAACTCTCCCTCCACCACCCCCGATACATCCACCCATCCATCCATCCATCCCCCTCTCTTACTCCAACCTCAACTTTTTTTTACTCCACTCGCTGGCTATTTGAAGACCTGTGCTAAAATCTTTTGAAGTTCATATAGTAAAAAGTCACTGACAGAATATAATGAACCTTGCATTGACTATTTTTTTAAAAATAGTTTGACCTTGGGGAAAAAACATTTTAAAATTTTAAACATCAGTGGCTTTAAATGTTTGGATTCAATTGAAACGTTCTTGCATTTTATTTGCGTTTTATGTGAAGGCACACAGGTAGGAGAGACCATCTGGTGTGAGAAAAACAAGACATTTTTAAACCACATTACACGCAGGTATTAAATAAAATATTTAAATAACTTCACTTGATGATTATCTACAGAATCTTTGCTCTCACACATTTTAGACTCCGCAATATTTATAAAATCATTAATACACCCCACACTTTATAGAACATATTGTCTTTGAAGAAGGAAATAATGGCCTGTGCTTAAAAATATATTTATCTCAAGTGTGCCAATCTCTGCTGGAAACTTTCTTCTGCTGCTAATTCTTCTTTGCATTCTTTATAGTCAGCTCCCTCTTCCATTTACCTTTCTGTTTGCCCCCTCCTACAGAGCGCTTGCTGTTTGCTGCAGATTTATGGTCCGGTCTAACATGCACAGTATTGGCAAAGCATTAAACATGTCTACTCTTAATACTGTGAGCTCTCTCCATCGATAAGAGCCTTAATAAAAACATCCCCCTAGTGGATTTGTGAGTCTCTTTTTCACTTTCCACCCTCCACCTCCCTCTTTGACAATATCCTTCTCTCTTAACCACTGTTTCTGATGCTGCTTCGCTAGCTTTAACCTGGTCCTGCTGCATATCACTTGCTTTCCTCTCATTCTTTTCCACCTATTTCTCCCCCCCACTCACCGCCTCATTCTCTGCCCTGTGCCAGAGGTTTAATGATGCTTGAATGCCACTGCTATGGAGTTTTCTTCTTCGCTCTTTCTCATAAAGAATATTTAAAAGCCATGCCCTGAGATCAATCTATCTCAATGTGTCTCTCACGGATTCATTTCTCTTCCATCTCCTCTTTCGGTTTTTTCCTCCTCACTTTCAGATGGATAGCATTACCCTGTGTAACCCCTTTCCTTGTTTAGTTCACACACATCCTCTGCAACAGCCCTGGGCTGGCAATTGGCACACTTGCTCGAACTGCCACTCTTTTATCTGGTCCATAAATGCCTATTGGTACCCTAAAATCCTTCACTACCCCCTGAAGCCACCCAGGTCAGTTACGTCTATGAGAGCCAAGCAGCTGTTCCCCTCCCACTTCTTTCCCCTTTGCTGTCTCTGATGTCAAGAATTTGAGCATCATAAGCACATTTTAAATATTAACAAAGACCACTTTGCACGTATGAATAATACAGCAGAGAGGGCAGTGGCTGGCCAGCGATCCCATCCCCTGCCGCCTGACGGCCATAAAACTAATGCACTGCTCCGGGACAGAATGTGGCCTGGTCTGGTCTGCCAGCAGGACTTGCCTGAGGAACTAGTCTGGCCCGTGGCTGGGTCCAAAGAGACCTGTCTGTCTGTTTATTTATCACGGGTGCCCAACCACCTGTCCAAATCTCTGCAGATGCAACAGCCTGGCAGCACTTTTGTTATGACTACATGTTTCAGAGACACTTTAATCTAATCTGACATCTCAATCTGTTGACCGTCTTTGAAGCCAAATCTACTTTGGTGTTTGTCTGAGGTGAGCTTTGTTATCATGTTCCTTTCTTTTCATGAATCTTAAATTCATACTTTTAGCTGTTGGAAAATTACAGAGTTCTTCTGACCAAACTGCAGAGCAAAATATTTCAGTCGCCCTTTTACTGGCTCATATGTAATACTGAACTCTTCTTGCAGCCGCCGCACTGTTGTTCAGGAGCAAGAGGATTCCCACACTATACACAAATGAGACAGCACATCATAGAAGAGTGTCACTATTCATCCAGCCCTCTATGGGAGTGTCTGACATGCTACGCTCCCTAACTCTGAACACTCGACTGCTCCTCCGCTACCCTCACCCTCGCTCTCCTCCTGTCTTGACCTCCTAGTCTGGGCACTGGTCTCCAGCCCCCAACCCTAACCTCCACCCCCTCCTCTGGGTTTACTGGTCGTCTCCATTTAATCCTGATGTGTCACAAACTGTGCGTAAACACACTTCCCGTATGTCGATTTTCTAATTCTGATGAAGTCATTAATAATGACACACACAGAGAGAGAGGCACAGTGGACAACAGGGTAGTTACTCCAGACAAGTGTTCCTGGCAGTCTGGGTAATTAATGTGTATGTCAACACAGAAAGAGGAGCACTGTAGCAGAAATGTGAGCTCAGCACATCCACAATGCAGGCAGAGACCGAGACAGGAGGGATCTGAGGGGGAGGCGGCCGAGGAAAGGTATGCACACAATGGGAAAGAAGATAAATGCAATCTGTCTGTCCCATCATGCATTCCCTAAATATATCTCTGCCTTCCTCTCTCCCAGACAGAAACTTTACTGGGGCACACTGAGCTTTTGTCCCCTGGTGTCCCCCCTCCTCTCTGCCCTGCTCCCCTAACAGGACCTCACTGCAATCCTCAACTGTTTATATCAACCTTTCTCATTTCTCATGCAAGGATTTCAGAATGGTCCACAATTTTAATAAACGTAAGCTGCTTTTCTGCTCCGCCTGGTCGGGGAATAATACGCACACAAGGACCTTGGGATGTACGGCGGGGGGTTCTTATTGGCATTCAAAGAAACGGCCACAGACCTGGACAGACAAGTCAGTGTGTCCTCCAAAAGATTACTGCTGTCATTAAGCAAAAAGTGGACTTTCTCACCACAGACTCAGATTTATTTCTTGGAGTGCTCTTTTAGCAAAGCTTGTTTATATTCTGCACTTATTGTTGGCCGCATTGTCCTTTTTTTCCCCCCCTACTGTAAACCGAGCTTAATCCACAATCCACTAAACCCTCAGATTTCTGCCTTGTATTTCAATCTGATCTGGCAAAGGGAGGGGAGGAGAAAGTCCAGGTTTGCCTTCCACTAGGCCACACTGAGTGAAATCATTAATCTAACACTGGAGATGGGCAGCCTCACCTTGGTGTCCAAGACTTGTCCCACCACCTCACCCGCAGTGACCTGCTCTGTGTACCAACTGATTTCATCTCCATGAGAGCTGCTGCAGTCTTTGACAGCATTATCTCTGGGCAATCCACTGATCAAAGCCCGCTCTGCTCAGACTGGAATACTATGTCTGATAAAATAATGATTAAAAAGGTAGAGACGGTTTAACATCAACTGAGTTAAGTCAGTATTTCAAAAACAACTCGTGCACCCAAGCTTGTTACTAAATTTAGACGATGTTTCTCGCAATGAGGAAAAATAACTAAAAGAACCTCTTCCCCTGAAGCACTTCAAGTGCTCTCTGTCTTACTTTTCACAAAGCTTTTCCTTTTTCTTTTAGGAGAGGCCAAGAAGGCATGGAGCAAAACCTTAATTACTCCCTGCGCACCGGGGGAGTTTGATTTTTCCGCTCCAAGTAGAAATGAGGGCTCTGAGCTCGGTGTACTGTAAGGCTGAAGAGTCTGCTGCGCGTAAAAGAAAAAGCGCTGGTCAGCAGGCGACCCCAGACCCCTGCAGAGTTATAGGTGTAACGCACTTATTTTAAATTGGACTAAATGTTATGGGTCTGAGGTTGGACACTCAAAAGTCTTAATATTTTCTCGTTGTTTGACTTGTTATCTTCAAAATGAATACAATAAATAAAAACAAGCTCCATGCGTGTGTCTGCGCGCACATGTTAGTGTGTGTCTAGTAAATGTGGCCCCGTTTACAAATCTGTACAGTATGTCACAGTGTTTTAAGTCCAAACTGATCTTTAATTTCAAAACTTACCAGTGCCAGACACGAAATATCCCCCAACCAGGAGGAGAAGAACCAAAGGAGCGAGACCTTGGTCACGCTGCATCCGAACAGAGAGCATCTTTTCCGGCTACGCCGTTGCGAAACGTCTCGGGTTGTCCACGCAGCGTAACCTGCGGTGCTTTTCACACACCAAAGTGGCTCAAGTCCAGCAAAGTCTCTACCCCTGAAAGATCTCTCAGGAAATAGTGAAATTGCAACGAGTCCAGTAAATTGATGTTGGATGTCGTTGTTTTGGTAAATAGTTGACTCTTTGTTGACGCAAACAGACTGAAACGCTCAAAACACATCCATCACCGAACAGCTTGTGAATGTCCGAGAAAAGATTGAAAGGGTGTAATTTCCGCCCGTAATCAAAGTTTGAAGAGGTCCGTGTATCACACCCTGTGGCTAAAGGAACAATTTGTCGGCACTATTCCTGGTAGATTTCATTTCCAGCCGCACTTGAACCCCGCTTGACTGGGAGCCATACGCGCAGAGGTGCCACTAAAGTCACCAAAAAGTTTGACGCATTTCTGCTCTGAATGGAGGGGTGGAATTAGACGAGAGAGTCCGGGTCCCATCAAAGGCAAACTTGATTTGCCACCATATACAAAATAAGTACCACGGGGTGGAGATGCTGTCACATAGCCGCGTCCACTGCAGACTGGACTCCCGAGTCTGTTCTGGGCCCCTGTGGGTGTCTTGCCTCTCCCCGTCCGCAAGGTGTAAACAAGAACGGGGGGGGGATCAACGCTGGAACACACTGCCAGCCTCCGGACTACCAGTCCCCGCCTGGCCAATCATATACCATCCTCCTCCTCCTCTTCTCAGAGTGAAGGCAGAACTAGTGAAGGTAAACTAGTGGCAAGCGAGGAGGAAATAGATGAGAGGGGTGAGATAGAAAACCCGGACCCTAGAGCGCAGAGACCCGCTCTGGATTCAGCAGGCGCAAATACTGCAGACCAGATAGGATGAGTTTGTGAGTTTCTTTTATTAGAGTCTATCTATCTATCTATCTATCTATCTATCTATCTATCTATCTATCTATCTATCTATCTATGTTTATTTTCAAAACTAATTTTAAATGCAATAACGTAGGACAATCCCCTTTCTTCGCTGCCCCCTACCTAATGTGAATGATCTGTGGAAAGCTATCTGGAGTCTATAAAAGCAGTCCAGGAGCACCGGTCTTGGTTTATGAGAGCATATTATTGCCTGCATGTCAATCCATCCCTCCCGCATCCCTGGGTCCCATTTTTCTCCCGGTGGCCACAAGAGAGCACCCTTTCATAAATGAGCCAATGAGGACGACGCCTGACTGGATCTCCAGCAGAACTCTTCATTATCTATTTAAAAAAGTCGTTTCCTGTGAGACTGGATGGTGCTGATAGTGTCTGATTGCTGGGCGGACACCATGAAGAAGAGGTGAGCATTGCTTCGGCACTGAAGCTGCTTTAATGCTGCTTATTTTTTAAATCAGTGGGATGTACAACTAAATTCAGCTTCACATCTCAATTTACAGAGGTGTTGTTTTATTTCTGAATCCTCTTTCAGTTTGCTGGAGTTTGAGTTTCTGTAGGTGCCCCTCTCTTCTCCATCTGTTACGGCTAACTGGTAATTTCGTCTTCAGTTTATTACAAATACATACCCGTTGGTAAGGCTTATGGAAGGTGGATATGTATCACTTATCACTTAGGGTTTTCTGTGAGATGCCTACACAACATTTAATTTTGGAACATCAAATTGCTTTCAATAGGTGGGCATATAAAGCACAAATGGGTGACAAATTAAAGGAACCACCTGAATAAAGAAAGGGAACATAACAAGTACACATGCTTCCATACAGTGGAGTGGGTTGATGAGGATGAACATGATGTGAGTCATGTGTTATGGTCTTCACAGTCACCAGTGTCAACACCTATGGGAGATTTTGGTACAGAATGTCATACTGCACTCTCCACCACCGCCGAAAAACACCAAATGAGGGAATATCTTTCAAAAGAATGGCGTTCATCGCTCCGGCAGAGATCCAGAGAATCTATGCCAAAGAGCACAGAAGCAGTTCAGGAAATGTAATGTTGGTTTTTCATTTAATTTGTCACCCAGCTGCCCTATGATTTGGTGATAAAGAGCATAAAAACATCAATTATTTCTATGAAAATGTCACTTCCTGCCTTTCCCCGGCATTACTCACTGTGGGCAGTATCACTCTCTGGCTCATAACGAGTCCACCATTCATTCCTTCTGTTGCTGAGTCACATTGATGGTCAGTGAGCAAGGTTTATTCTTGCATGACTTGTACCTTGAGATTGGATTAACACTGTAGTGCAAAATTCTCAAGATGAAATAAGGTACTTAAGAGTAGAACAGAGCAAAAGCCCAGAGTTTTAAGCATATAGTGAGGCAGACAGAGAGCCAGTATGTACGCACGCATGCCGCTGAGCCTAAAGCCCTTCTCTAAGATGTGACAGTATCTGGCAACGGAACAGCATTGCTGTACTTTGCTCAAATCCAACTTCAAAGGTTATAATTCGTGCGGACAAGTGATGACTCCCAGTCTCTCCCTCCTACGATGACAATTATGCTGTTTCCTGAAGCACAGAATACACTCCGGATTATTTATTTATTCTCTAAGTCTTTATTGTGACTGGTGAAAGAGTGAGAGAGGAGGAGGGTGACAGGGACATGGACGGAGAGAGAGGGACACACTGACAGAGACGGGGAGAGCGAGAGAGGTTATGCGTGAAATGGAGTTTGCAGGTTGTGTTTGAGACAGATTTGCCTCGTGGAGCTGCAAATGCGTTTTCTGTTTACATGTCCTTGCATGCCGTAGTTTCTGTGCCACTTTTACTGGTCTGTTATTTCATATAATAGCTCTGTGCTCTGCATAATAAGTATATACTTATATGGCATTATCCACAATCTTTACTCGTCACTTAACGGTGATTCTTGCTGTGTGTGTGGAGCAATTTGGGGTGTGGAGCTCATTCAACAGGTTCTTGGTTACACAATTTCCTACCTAGATGAGGTCATGCAGGATGTTAAAACTTTGCAAGCTATAGATAATTTGCTCTCTGTTCCCCCACTCTCTCTAACACATATCCCCAATTATTACTGAGATAATAACAATGTTGAACTTGCCATAAGTTATCATTTTGTTCTGCCCTTTGCGAAGACTAATTGAAGATATAAGTCAAGGGCACCCAATGGAAAACTGGGGAGGAAAGCTGGGGGAAAGGAGAGCCATAATGGAGTGGGATGAAACTCATATGTGGTGCACCATACAGAAGAAGAGACAATGAGAAAGCTAAGGCTATTATTAAGGCATAATAGGTTATCCGCCGAGGACTGTTTAGCACCGCTGACTCTCCGTTGCTTTGTGTTGCAGGCTTGACATAAAAAGGATCAAACTGCCTATCTCTGTAAAACAGAGGGGGTCTAAAAATAGGAGACATGCTCTAGAAGTTGCTGTGGAGATAATTGAATATTATTTTCAGGAATGATTAAGTTGACCTATCCAGTAGACTAATTATTTCTCGCAGGCCAGAAGAGAACTTGTTTAATAGATTTTGGTAGCAGTGAATAAAGCAAAATAAAGCGGCCAATCTGCAGACTTTCTGCTGACCAAGTAAACATCATCTGTGGCAAAATGAAAAATACCCATCATTAGAGTTTGGCTTGTGGTATATTTACAGATGTATCTTGCAGAGTGGTGTCCTCTGGCATTGTCTTTGGATGTGTTTGAAGTTTCAGGTTATCCAAATCTCACAAAAAACAGCCAAAGTTTCAGTTTAATGTGCCAAAGTTTGAGAAATCTCCCTCCACAATGCAATAGAGGTGAATTAAATTCCCTTTGTGCTGCTCAAGCAATGTCCTTGTTAACCTGAATCAGTGCTTTCATTTTTTAGGTACTATACTTGAGTATTTCTTTTTTCTCTACTTCTCTCTAGTTTTTTAGTCCACTACATTTGTATGACAGCTATAGTTCCTATGAATGAATGAATTTACAGATGATAGTTTTTACAATTGGAAACACAGTTCACAGTTCACTTCTGTGTTCAACATGTAGCTCGGCACAATAGTTACAGTTTTTTTTTTTACAATGGCTAACGTCCCTTTGTCTAAACTACCGTCACATTTTCAAAACGCTTAACACAATTAACACAGCCTCAGTCTGTTATGGACCATGTCATTAATACACTTAATGTTGTTTTCACAGAATGCGCAGTCAATTAACACGTTTCTGAAATGCTTAAATTTTCTTTACCTAATACCAAAATCACTTACTTTTAAATGCTTGCACACAGCATGGCAAAAAATGAAAACCTAACATTCAAAACCTTAAATACAGCCTTTAGTTCTGGAACAACAGCAACTCAAAAGCTACGTATATTGAAACAGCTGATACATAAGCATGTAATTATGTAATGAGCGTATCATTGAAACATTGAGAATTTTAAGTTGTGTAAAATAGACCAACCACAGCTGATTCCAACCTCATAATCAGGCGTTGAAGTTCCCTCAATTACATAGACATATACCGTAAAAATGGGAGTTTTTAGATCGACTTTGCTCAATGTGGATAGATGTGGAGAGAGAAAATGAGAGGGTGAGGAGTAGTTGGACAAGTTGAACCAGGATGTGTGGTGTTGTCCAAAGGAGAGTGAGAGCTGTTGTCACTGATAGTGTATTTGATTTCTACAAATTAAGAATAAAGGCTATGTATCTTGGACATTTTTTGTCGATCGCTGGCAATTTCATGTTTCTACTGCAGCAATTCTGACACATTTTTTTTCTGTTGTAGTCTATATTCTATAAAGTAAATATGACACATTCAGTTTTAGATAGTATGTTGCCAAGAAAGCCCAAATTCAACACTCATATAGTGGTTTACAGTAAAAGGAAACTAAATAATAGAAAACAATCAATGTTATATTGTCTATCTGCAGTTAGAGGAATGCAGTTCTTGTAAAGCCATCAAAGTTGTGCTAGGATTGACTGTTCCCCTTTGATAGGAAATGTGTGCTTGTTTGTTATTGAGTGGGTTTTGCCTTGTTTTGATTGAGTTAGTGTATGTAGAGAAAGTCTTTTGAAGAAAAGAAGAAGAAAGAAAGTATTTTGTTGCAGTTTATATATACCTGTATTTATGTAGTGTTGAGCTATGTGATGATGCTGATTTCCAGAATCATGAAATGAGTCATGTTCTGTTGTTGTTGATGTTTATTACATTGGGAATTCTTATGTTGCTTGGTGATGTTGACAATATTTGACATTCATTATAGTCTTCACAGGCCCTGCAGGGTTTTGGTTTTGTTACTATGTTGTTTTATTTTGTGTTTCTATGTTTGCTGTAGCACAAATTGCCCACTTGGGACAAATGATAAATGAACTGAATTGGATTTTGAAATGTAGAGTTGGTATTTAATGAACAAAATGTGGTTTTGAGCATGACATTAACTATTTGGCTAATTGTGTGATGTAGGTATGTTACAGTAAGAGTTTAGAGAAAGTATTTTATAGTAAATATAAGTAAATGCTTGTTACAGCTGTAAAGAAAACTGTAATTTCACATCCAAAATTGCCCTTATTCAACCAAAACACTTAATACACATCTCAGAATCAACTCAAGGTCATCAGTTAGTCTCAGTTGGGAATTTATAATTATCTTTATTTCTTTTTAGATGTAGCTGTAACATAATTTTACAAATTGCAGTTTAATTTACTATTTTTGGTTTCGAATGAACAGACCTGACTATAGTATTTAAACAAAATGTAAAATGCAGTTTAAATACAGGGTTTTGGTGGTTGAGA